GAAACTTAGAGTTCCTTTGTCATCTTTCCTCATCTTCAGGTTTTTAAGATACTTGCCAAACTGGGCAGGAAAAATTTCTATCGAACTTACTCCAAGCAAAAATAACTTAGTCATTGCACCAACGCAAGACCCATTCACTCTTACAGACGTAAAGGGAGCAAATCAAACGTCATTCGCCGAATTTTGCAAAGACAAAGTTGACCTAAACTTTGGTTTCTCAAACCTCAACACTGAAGTAAACTATTATTTCAATGCTGCTGGAACTGCTTGGGACCCAGTTAAGTTCACATGCGAAAAATTTGAATGCAAGAGAATAAAAAGCAGACTTGCAGTCTATATGTTGGACCCAGATATTTCAAATGCTTTAGCTGCCAAATATATTGCAGTTCCACTTATGTTCCCTATACACCAAATATCTGTCAAAGACTTTGCAGGTGAAGTTGGAAACCAAAGTGCTGACCCAGGTGCAAGAACAGATATTGCTTTAACAACTGCAATGAAACATGCAGATACTATGTTTGTACTGTTCAGACGAACTATAAATGACTATTCTTGTTTCTACAACCCCGGTATTAAATATCATATAAACATAGATGGCAAATATTATCCAAGAGAAGAATATTCTACAGTTGAGGATATGAGGTCATACAACTTGACATTAGATGCTATGAACTTTAACAACAATTTCACAACAACCATTAACCCTGAAATGCAAAGTTCTATTATGCCATATGTGAAAGTATGGACTCATACAGGAGGTCAAAAAACTCAATATACAAATGGAGACCGTTCAAACTTTTGGCTTGGCATTCCATTTGCTGACTCAGAAGACTTTATGGGTGGTATTTCAACTGTTGGTACAGTTCAAATACAATATACTGGTGACAGAGACGGTCCAGATGAATTGAAAGCAAAGAAGTTTACAAAACCAATAGCACTTTTCACGGAAGATGCTCTTTTGAAGATTCGTTCGATGAAACCTGCTGGGGCTCCTCAGATTGGCATAACGACAGCTTCCATCGAGCAGATTTTGGCAGCAGGTCAGTAAGTTGTTCTTGAACTGACTTCTCTCCGTCAAATATTGACAGTACGCCAGTTTTGACATAATATTGTATTATAAACTTACCTTTAGAAATATCTGTAAGTTTTGAAGTTATATTTTTGTCTGCTTCAAGAACTTTCACCATTTCAGTTATACCAACTTTCTTTGCTTTATGAAAATATTTTGGTTCAGCAAAGACTGCTATTCTATAACATTTTCCATTGTTTGTGTAAAGAACTATTCTGTCAATGAACTTGTATTGTTTGTGTGTGTAAACTTTGTTTTGCTTCAATTCGAAGAGATACTCAAATACGTCCATCTTTTTATTCTAAGTAAAATGTCATTTCCGAAAAATAGAAGCGTAAGTGTTTCAAAAGGTTTAATGGCGGTGGCAGATGTGAAGTTAAATTCACCAACTCAAACAAACAGTCAAAGTGTTATTGTCAATGTCAAAGAAAGAGATGTTGAAGTGGGGAAAACCATACGAAGACCAAGATGTATAACAATAGTTCCTGTAAAAGAAAACCAACATACCCTGAAGTTAGCAGAGACTTAAGTTCTGTTGCAGATATTCGAACGACTACCAACAACTTAAAGACAAACTTCAAACTCAGGAGAAGATTTGTCAAGCTTTAGGTATAATGTTAAACTTGGTCGAACACAACCCTGTAAAAGTGAACTCATATGTCATTGCACCTCATGAAGTTTTGAAAGAACTATTGAAACTTTTGACAGAGGCAGACGATATAAACATCAAAGAAATAGAACCCGACGTTAGTTGCTGTGGTGTTTCATATAATGTCATTGACAAGATATACGTTATGAAAGGAGGTGAAACGTTGAACTTAAAATATAGTTTCCCAGACGTTATAAAAATATTTGACGACCACAACATTTCATTAAAGTTTATTTGCTAAGTAAAAATGTCAAAACTTCTTGAAAGATGTTTGAAGAAAAATAATATAGACTTTATTTCATGTAAAGGACTTTACACACTTTTGAACGATATGAAAGACCCTGTTTTGTTTGTTCGTGTAGACAAAGGAAATTCTATGTCTTTACAAAATATTTGAACTCTCTTAGACAGAGAACTTCAAGAAACGCCATGTGAAAGTTTAGATGAAGTTCTTCTCCACTTTCAGAAAAACTTTTAAATATATGTAAATGGCAGAAGACATAGTGGTTTATACTATTACGACTAAAAACCCTGAGTCATATAATTCTATAACAACAAACTTACAAAGTCCTCAAGGACGATATTGTAAACTGACCTTAAACACAATGACGACTAAAGCTTGTTTTGCTCTTTTGACACCAGAAGATTTTATTGTTGTGAATGGTAAAAAATACTCCTTTGAAGATACTTACTCAGATATACCACCAACAGGTTTTGTAGACCTGTTTAATACTTTAAGTACGGGTGTAACATGTGCTGCAACTAGAGCAGGTTTCATTATGTTTGGATGTCCGACTGAGTTTACTATAAACGATATGAGCTATAATACAAAACTTATTTCTGGTTTTTACTACCAACAGTTTCCTATAACAGGAAAAGGAAAAGGTGTTCATACAAGGTTTGTCTTTCCATTGACTTTAAGTACACCTATTTTATATATTGTTTCAAACTTTAGGTTCAAAGTGCTATTCGAATGTCGACAGAAACTACTATGACCAAAAGATACTCATGCGTTATAAACAACACATTCTCTGCTGGTTTGCCTATTGTTCATTCGAATGCAGAGTTTTCAGCTTTGGTAAACTCAAACACTTTAGCAAACATAACTTAACCTTAGTTGACGCAAACTTTGTTCCTGTAAAACTTTTTATGTCCTATGTATTTGTCAATGACGGCAGAAAGTTTCGAATTGGAAGATGCAACTGGGTGAAAGTATTGTATTACAAGAACAACTTCAACAACAAATAGCTCAAGAACAACAAATGCAACAAATAGCTCAAGAACAACAAAGTCAAGAATAAAAAAAATATTTTTTTTTATTTTATAAAAATGTACAGAATAGATGTTTCAGATTTTTATGACTTCCAAACATTCAGAAATATGTGTCCATTTCGAGACTATAACAAAGCAGTCGAGAATTTGAAACGTTTAGTCATTTATGTCGACTCTGCCCCAGAATTTATGTTATGAAAGAATGGGATGTAGTCTTAACAAACCAAGAGCAACAATAGTTTCAGAACAAGAATGTAGACAGAAACTTAAGAAAATAAAAGTCGTACAAGTTGGCATGAAGATGTTAGATGCTTGGGATATCTTATTGTCAAAGTTAGAAGATTTTTCAGTTCGTGGTATAAAGTTTTATACACCTTCTCCAAACTTCTATTCTATCTTCACTGGATATAAATACGAACAAGTAGAATGGAAAGAAAATATTATAGAAGCTTGTGTTAGACCATGTCAAAGAAATTATATGCAATGGAAACGAAAAGAGTCTATGAGTATATCTTTAGTTGGTTTGCAAACATCTTACAACATCCAAGTGCTAAAAATGAAACTGCTCTCATTATAATTGGAAAACAAGGAACAGGTAAGAACACGTTCTTTACAGATATCTTATGCAAACTGTTAGAGTGCTATTCGAACCCTAATATGACAAACTTAGAAAACATCTGCGGTAAATTTAACTCTTCAATAGAGAATATAGAAACTATAAGTATAGTATTAACGAACTTCAAAATATAGATACAACAAAAGTTTTGAACTCAGATGCTTTGAAGAGTCTTATAACAGACAAAGTTGGAGTTGTTGAAAGAAAATATAAAGACCAAAGAGTTTGTGAAATGTTGCAAATTTCATTATGGTTTCAAACAATGCTGTTCCGATGAAGTTAGAAAGTTCTGACAGAAGATATGTAGTTGTCAGAACATCTCTCTTCTCTTTTCTATCTATA